ACATCATGATCTGATGATAAAAACAAACAAAAATTACTGAGAAAACCCTTGATGTACATATCTTAGATGGGATCATTATAACTGGCTATTACAGTTTAATTCTTTTAGACTGCATATGAGCTTCTCTCTGTGTAGGAATGGCTTATCTGACAGCTGACACTCTCATATGGATATCATTAAAATGGTGCTTGTGAAACAAAAGAAAATGCTGGCATTTGGCTTTAACCCCTTAAAGTGCCAAACTTAGTGTGGGGCTGGTGATGGTAGCTACAGGTCTTTGCTCCTTAGGGTAAATTTGTGATGATTAATTCAATGACTAATCTCAAGAACAAGACACTTCTTTAAGAAATTATATACTTGCAATAAACAGGTCTACTAAGTAAGGCCAGCATTAGGTCAATGTCTTCACTTCCCTGTGGTAAGCCTTCACAGTCACTGCTATGAAAGAACTAAATAGTTATCTTTTTACAGATGTGTTAATAATCTTAGAAATTGGCTCTATTGGAGAGATATCCACTACTTATTACTTGGTGGTATGTCTGGGGGGAACAAATGGGAGTCTAAGGGCACACATTATGAATGGGGACTGAGGTAGGAAATAATGTCATAAAAGTAATGCATAAAAGGCTTCCTGGGCTGGCCAGTTAGCTCAGTTGGTTAGAGCATGGTGTTGATAATACCAAGGTCAAGTATTCGGATCCCCATACCGGCCAGCTGGCAGGAAAAAAAAACCCCATAAAAAACACAAAAGGCTTCCTAAGGTTGAAAGGATTGGGAGAACAGGATAAAAAGACGTCCCATTCTGGGGGATATTGTGGGATCTGGAGACGGAATATGAGCAAGGAATAGAGGAAGTTGAGAAAATGGAATTCACTGGCAGAAGCAAAGGGGAAAAGATGATATAGCTAGACAATCAGGCCAGCTGTTTTCCAGTCTTCCTCAGATAAGAGTGACAGACTAATCAGCCTCCCTGTGGGTGGGCTCCAACCTCAACTGACAGCTGACAAAACAAGAGAGCACATTCCCTTAACTGGAGGAAGGGAAAAAAAGGAAGGTAAGAGATGTTGAAAGAGCTGCGATTTATACCAGTCCACTGAAGAGGAAGTTTGGCCTATTTTTCCCCCACTCTTCATTAGTTATAAAAATATTGGAAACTTAAATCCACTAAAATTAGGCTTCCATTTCTTTTTTTTTTTTTCCTTTTTGCATTTTTTCGTGACCGGTAACGGGATCGCAACCCTCAGTGTCGCACCCGCACCGCGACCAGCAACGGAATCGCAACCCTCGGTGTCGCGCCTGCACAGCACTCAACCAGTGAGCGGACCAGTCTCTATATGGGATCCGAACCCTCGGCGGGAGCGCCGCCGCGCTCTACCGAGTGCGCCACCGGGCCGGCCCATAGGCTTCCACTTCTGACATTGCACTGAAAATGTTCTTGGTCTTCAATGACTTCATATATCTAATCAACACCTCACTGTCCTTCTTACTTGACTCCTAGACATTAGACATAGTTGGCCATTTGATCTTTCTTGAACATTCTCACCTTTAGCTCCCTTGACATTCCCTCCCCCCACCCCCACAGTGTTTCTCCTCTCTCACTGGCTTCACCTCCTTGACTAGGTCTGTTCATGGTGGTGAACCCCAGAGCTGGGCTCTAGGGCCCTCTTTTTTTTTTTTGGCAGCTGCCCTGTAGGAGATAGGGCCCTCTTCTTTAACTCTTCCCAGGTGACCTCCATCATTCTGATAGTACTAAATCCCAACTATAATACTGATGATTTCTCAAATCTCTAACTTCAGTCCATCTCTCCTCCAAGCTTCAGACCCATTTCCAACTTCCAGCACTACATCTGCACTTGGAAGTATCACAGTTAACACATCTAAAATAATTTCCCCCTCACCAAATCTGTTTGATCCACCAATCTTCCTCACCTCAGTAATATTACTACCTACTCACCTGCAGAAACTTGTCATTCTCAATTTCTTTTTCCTTCATTGCCCCATATCAAATCCAACAGCAAGTGCTTTAATTTCTATCTTCAAAATACATTTCTAACATATACAGTCATGTGCTATATGACAACGTTTTGGTCAACAGAACCCAAATACAAGTAGGCCCATGAGATTATAATACCATATTTTTACTGGACCTTTTCTATTTAGATACTTACCACTGCGTTACAATTACCTACAGTATTCAGTACAGTAATATGTTGTACTGATTTGTAACCTAGAAGCAACAGGCTGTACCCTATAGCCTAGATGTGTAGTAAGCTATACCATGTAGGTTTGTGTAAGTACACTCTATGATGTTCACATGACCACAAAATTGCCTAATACATTTCTCAGAACATATTCCTGTTGTTCAGAGACACTAACTACACATGACTTTCTAGTCCATTGCCATTACTTTAGCCCAGGCAACCTGTTTTTTATTTATTATTTGTGTGTGTGTGTGTGTGTGTGTGACCGGTAAGGGGATCGTAACCCTTGGCGTGGTGTCGCCCGCACCGCGCTCAGCCAGTGAGCGCACCAGCCATCCCTATATAGGATCCCAACCCGCGGCCTCGGCGCTCCCAGCGCTGCACTCTCATGAGTGACCCAGAGGGCCAGCCCCTATTTATTTATTTTTTTAAAGATGACCAGTAAGGGAATCTTAACCCTTGACTTGGTGTTGTCAGCACCACACTCTCCCAAGTGAGCCAACCGGCCATCCCCATATAGGGATCCGAACCCATGGCCTTGGTGTTATCAGCACCACACTCTCCTGAGTGAGCCACGAGCCGGCCCCAGGCAACCTGTTTTTTACTGTGATCATTACAATAGTTCCTATTCTTGCTCTCTTCCAATTCACTCTCCACATAATAACGTTTTCTCTTTACACTCAGAACAGTATCCAAGCTCCTTCCTTAAAAAGGCCTAATAAGGCCTTGTATGATCTGGCTCTTACTTCTTTTATGCCACTCCCTTTGCTCACTACATGTCAGACAATTGGACTTCTCTCAACACTTCAAATACACCAAACACTTTCCTGCTCTGTGGCCTTTGCATTTGTTGTTCTGCTCAAAAAGTTTCCTACTCCTATTAGCATGGACCATTTTCTTTTCATCCTCAGGTCTCAGCCTAAAACTTAACTTCACAACATCCTATTTAAAGCAAAATTCTTTTTTTTTTTTTAAATATGACCGGTAAGGGGATCTTAACCCTTGACTTGGTGTTGTCAGCACCACGCTCAGCCAGTGAGCGAACCGGCCATCCGTATATGGGATCCGAACCCGTGGCCTTGGTGTTGTCAGCACCGCACTCTCCCAAGTGAGCCATGGGCCGGCCCCTTCTACTTTTTTTTTTTTCATAGTATTTGAATCAAATCTGTATCACTTGTGTTTGACTGTATTCCAACTAAAAAGATCCTTGAGGGCAGGAACTTGAGGGAGTCTGTTTTGCGTACCACCACGTCCCGTGAGGCTTGAGCCAGGGCACAAGAAATGGCTCCACAAGAGGATGAGGAGCATAAACTGATCACTGGGGAACTGCTAGATAAGCAGTGATCCCAGTTTCTATTACACAATGGAATCCTATTTCCTGGCTATTCTCCCATTTAATAACTATTTTTCCTTCATTTTTTTAAAAGTAAGACATTTTATGGATGATGTTGGTTGTAAAGCAATTTTGTGTATGTACAGACTTAGCTGAAGGCTTTCTCTTTTTAAAATTAATTTCATGTACATTTACATGGAGTAGTTTGTTTTTTCAATATGTGCATATATTATATATTGATCCAATCAGAATAGTTAGCATATTAAACATTTTTAAAAAATACTCAGGTTAATTTATTTCTGCTTATATTTTTTAGAGATTTTTTCCCATTCCTGTAGATTTTATTTTGTTGAGTATGTGAGTTAATTTTTTTTTTTAATGTATTATTGGAACATAGTTGACTGTATATATTTGTGGGGTACAGCATTGAATATCAACACTTGTGTACAATGTGATGATCAAATCAGGATAATTAGTACATTCTTCATTATACAATAATTGATTTTCGTGGCCCTTTACCAATTCTTCCCTTTCTCCCCTCCCCCTCCCCCACCTTTGGTAATCTCAGTTCTGTTTTCTTCTCTTAAAAGTGTAACATATTGGGCCGGCCTGTGGCTCACTCGGGAGAGTGTGGTGCTGATAACACCAAGGCCCCGGGTTCGGATCCCATATAGGGATGGCCGGATCACTCACAGGCTGAGCGTGGTGCTGACAACACCAAGCCAAGGGTTAAGATCCCCTTACCGGTCATCTTTAAAAAAAAAAAAAAAGTGTAACATATTATTGTGATTGTTGTATCTTTCTTTCTTTTATTTTTTATTAGTTCCCACATATAAGTAGGGACATGCAGTATTTCTCTTCCTGTGCCTGGCTTATTTCACTTAACATGTAACACAATATAATAGTATCTCCTGGCTTTTCCATTAAGTAATTATTTTTCCTTCAGTTGTTTAAGCTGAGTCCTTAGTCAGTCATTATTACTGGTTTTAAATACCAGACACTTGAACTGCCCAAATATGTCAAATATAGAATCATACTTTCCTAACAAAGCTAGCTAACCTAATGTTTTCATAATAATTCGATCAACATCTACAGAGTACTTACCCTAAATGTTCAACATATTGCTAAGAGCAGAGAAAAAGCTAGTAAACACTATACTTGACAATGGGACTACAAACTAACCTTTGTCAAAAAATATTAAGTGCCCTAAACACGAGAATATGAGGGCAAGCTTTTGGGATCTACATTACATTAATGAAAGTAATATCTGGAGTCTAGCAAAAACAATGACACAAAAAACTTATACTGAAAAGGTTTTGTTTTTATTTCCAAGATCAAATATTACAACAGGACATTTACATGTATTTATAAAAAAATGCAGCAGTTGAATTTATAGACCAGAGGTTTCCTTGAGTTTGGTCCCCCTCTCAGCACAGTGAGCTGATGTCTTCAAAAGACTTATCGTCCCACTCCCCTCCCTCCCCCACCCAACCGTCCCACCCACCCTCCCCAATTCAAGTTGCAGTATTAATATAAAGCAACTGGGTACAACACAGCAAGAATATTCACAATTTGGTACTGCCAAAACCAGAGGATCACCAACTGAAAGATCCTCATTTCAGAAAGTATTTACCTATAGACTATGTGTATCTATAGATATGTCAACACCCAGTTATCTAAGATTTCCCTGGTTTTAGAGCAAGTGGAAGTGCCATTGAGTCTTAGCCAGCAGTTACAGCTCTGCTTTACCTAATAGCATGTCTTTCTTTTCCTACAAGTTTAGATTTTCTGCCGCCTTCATGTGTCTTCACATTTAAGGCTTTCCCTAGCACCTTTATCACTTACTGGATATACAGGAGGGTCTCTAATGTGTCTTCAACAAAAAAACTTAGTGGATGGTCCAGTTGCCCCTTGCTCACTGGTCCCAAAGCCTTCTTCCCACTTTTGGGAAGAGCTGCAGAAATAAATGTATCTCCTAGCACCACGGATTAAACGCCCAGAAAACTGAGAACTCGATGTGCATTTTAGGGAGAACTTTCTCTGTTTGTTATCTTCTTGCATTCTGTAACAAAGTTATATACTACAGATTAAATTTAGAGCCTGTCCTGCAATAAAAATGTAAATCTCAGTAAGACCACCCACTATGTCCAGAATAAGTTGAGTACACAAACATCCCAGGGAATCTCTAAATACTGTTAGGAACTGCATGAGAAAACACTTTAAAGCAAATACCCCAAGTTGACTTCACTCAAGTCCCCGACCCACCCTTATCCCCATCCCCAAACAAATTTCATTCCTTGATTAACCTCTCTGAATAAGACGGGAAGTGAGGTTTCGAAAATGACATGAAAAATGTTTAAAAACACAATTAGTGAAGACATGCCAGAATTGGACAACCCAGATGACTCAAAATACATTGTTCAAACTGAACTCATACAAAGCATGCACAGAGCCAACAAACACTCCTGAGAGTTTCCATGGAACAATCAATACCTACTTGAAAAGAAATTTAAGGATTAAAAAAAAAAAGACACCAGATGCTTAAAATTTGTTAACAATCAAAAGGAAAACTGTTCTTGAAAAAAAGATTTAGAGGAGTGAAGAAAATTGTGTGTAAGAGAGTCATGCCAAAGCTTAGATGGAAGCCCCGCAAAGTTTAAGTAACATGTTAACATCAATTGGTACTCATTTCTCTGTATCTAAGACCAGAGGATTATCTAACAGCTTTACTGTTTCCCAGAAAGTGTTTTAAAGAGCCTTTCCAAACTGAAGAGACAAACCTAGGAAAGTAACAAGGTTCAAGTCCTCGAATAGGCTAAGATAAACAGTCCCTACTACAAGCTTGCTACTCATTAACTGAAAAATGGAGGCCACATACTTCTTTCACTCGAACTAGTAGGTGAAAGGGGATATTCTGGTGGCAAGGTCACTCCACATGAGGCTTAACTTCTAGGGCAATAAGTTATCAAAAAGTTCTTGTTAAAAGCATATGATTAGTGTCATAAACCTATTTATATTTTGAATCACACCATTCAATTTATTGATATTTTCCATTATTAAGAACACAGAAGTTTTGGGAAAAGCATACTCTAAAATCATTTTGTTGAAAATGCAAGCTATCCAACCGTGTATCAACATTCCAATGTCATTAACTTCAAATGGATCCTGGTGACATGCACTATAAAGCCAGCTACTTTGATAGAGGGAAAAAACCAGAATGGCAGGAAATGGTTCCAGATCAAGAATCTCTCCCTTATCAATTAAGATTCCCATACTGAGTCTATGAAAAAAAAAAAAAAAATAATAATAATGATTTTAAGGAAGGGAGAATTCCAGGTCAGAATTTATCTAATGATGTGAAATGTTTCCTATTTTATTTACTACATCTAATAAATGAATGACTCATGATAACCTAGTTAGATTAATAGCTTCTTTTGATGGAGATAAAATATTAGTTACATTCAGTCTGGGTTAGCTTGACTACTGTGTTTCCATTTGAAAACCCAAGTGACCTTACAGGGGATATAAAATCTTAGGGCATTCTGATCTCTATAGAAGAAAAACCATTACACAAACAACAAAAACCTGCTGTTTGTTGGCAGAGAATTAAGTACAAAAAAGTAACTTCCCATATTTATAGATTGTGATTGTTCTTAGGTAAAATACTGCCATTGGTATTTGCATTTTTAATCCTGCAAATAAATCTGGTTACCTTTCAAAAATACCTCATTACAGAAATGCCAAACTGTTTTATTGAAGTAGTGTATATTGGATTACCCAACTATATACCCTGACATCACACAGCAAAGAAAGGTCTATACCAAAAATCAACATGTTTATGACAATGGTTGAGGTTCAGCAATCTGTAGGTCAAAAAAAAGAGAAGGGGTTTCATAGAGCTAGCTATTATCTATTTGGAATGAGAATTCTTCTTAAGTAGAGAGAAAATGAGCTATAAATAGGATGTTTGCCCCAAATTCTTCCTCTGTATATTAATTTACAAAAAATAAAAAAATGTTTAGAGTGCAGTCTTGTAATACCAAGGTCAAGGGTTTGGATCCCTATACCAGCCAGCCACCCACACACACACACAGTTACATATTAAGACTTAGAAATGGACTTTCTTAAACACAGCCAATTATATTAAAAAATCAGGACTAATACTCAGAGAATGGACGTCAAGAATCAAGAATAGAGAATGGAGAAGTAAAAGAGAAAGTATGATTAAAAGATTTTCTAATAAGGGTCTCATCATCACATCCAATAATCTAACGACATACATTCATTTCATGGGACAATTACCCAGGCCATCATAATCTCTATTAAAAAAAAATTCTCTAGCAGGATTGACACATAGGTGAGTCAAAAACCAAAATAACCATCACTGAAATACCAACTCTCTATATAATAGGAGAAATCAATATATTGGTATGGTATTCTCTGGTTATTTTTAGTTCTAAAGGACATTCTTGCCACTATTCTAAAATGTGTGCTGTGCAAAACTAAGTTTCATGGCAAGACAATAACTGAAGTGCTAAGCAAGGCAAACCAATGAAGCTGAATATTCATAGTACACAGCTGTCTTTAAGCAGCCTATTCATCAAGGCTTGCATTATTGGAAAATTGCCATGTTCATCGAAGGGCTGGTTCATCCTACCCTCATTACTTTTAAGTTTTAGTTTCACATGAGAAATCACTTATTCATCAACCTGCACTCCATGATTTACTATTGAGTAGTTAAATAAAAGATGGCCAGAAAAGGGAGTGGGGGTGGGTGGAGAATGACATAATAAAGATACACTCTGTGGGATAAAATATATTTTTAAAAGTCAGCCTAATGGAATCTTGAAAAAGTTGTTTCTGCCAAAGCCAAGAGTGAATTCTACAACTTACACAAACCAATTTCCCATCAATTGTTCAGCCGATGCTTTCTTTAAAATTTAACTCCACTGTCAGTGACGTATTTGGTTCTCTAATTATAATTTAGTCATTCTCAACACTGATTAGGCAAACAGCATTGTTTTCCAAAAATTGTTTAAAAGATCAGTACTATATATTACTATACTCTCCTTTTTGGAGATTTCAGTCATCACAGTGAGGTTAGATCAAGTTACTGGGCAAGTGATACTTGGACACAGAAAAAAAGCAAAGGATTTGATTAACAAGTACACTTTTAATCAGCCTAGGTATGATGTATAATAAAAGGGAGAGACTAAAGCATAAAATTCCGGAGTGGAAAAAGACTTTAGAGATAATCTAATTCAGTGGTCTACAATCTGTGGGTTCTTAAGAGTTTCTGAAAGGGGTCTGTAATTCCATGTGCACATTTACATTTTCTCTATCTACAGAATTAATTATATTAAGTTAACCCCACAATTCCCCACCAATGCCAAGTTTTAAAATGTTAAATCCTTTTACTTGAAAAGGCTGAGAACTATTAATCTAGTCCAATTCGTTCATTTTCAAATGAGAAACCCAAGACTCAGAGGAAAACAGAGACTTACCAAGATAAGAGTTAATTAGTAGAGCTGTTACTCAAGTAGACTTACACCTATAGTGCCCTTTCTGCATATCATAAATAATATACATTTAACTTGTATCTGGTTAGAAAACTATATTTTTCAGTTGCTAGTGGCTCTATCTGGTATTTTTCCTAAGCATCCAAGTAAGATCCCTGCTAGGTAAGAATCTTTAGTCTTGGGGATCAATAATCCTTCCCTACTTGGGTATTGGTTATGCCCTACTGATAAATTTCATGCCCTAAGTTTAGTAGTTACAACAGGTGGAGCTAAAACATATAGGTGAGTCAAAAGAAAATTTGAGCTACAGTGTTTGCCACCTTTCAGAATTTGAGTCTCCCTAACTGAGTAAAACAGGCAGGAATCAGACCTTAGATTTCAAAGTATTTCCAACTTTGATTAAGGACTCAATAGCTAATTGCTGACTTGTAGAGTCAAGGAAGAATTTTATAGATTTCAAAACATACACATAGAAGTTCAATAATCTGGTATGGATAGGACATAGAAAAGATAATTATATCTTTTCTGAAAAAGCTTTAAAAGGTAATATTCTTTTTATCCTTTCCGTTTATTCTTGGCAAAAAATGACAGTTATTTTCCCTTTCATATTTCCATGCCATCACTTTTAAAAAACAATTAAAAATAAGCCTCTCAAAATAATGGCATAAATAAGAATTTATATATAGGCATCATCCCACAGGTTTTATTTCAACTACTCCCCCTAGCTTTGAAGAAACAAAACTATATCATAATCCATAAGGCAAAACAATGAGAAGATAACCATTTGGGCAAGCTGATTCCCCTGTTATAGGAGAAAACAGCATGGGACTGAAAAGAGCATGGAACTCTGGATTCTAATTTTGATTTGCCATTTACTAGCTATGACATCCTGAACAAGTTCTCTGAACTTCAATATTCATTTTCTAGGGTTCTTAGGAAGATTAAAGGAGAAAATGCATGTAAAGTACCTAGCACATGCTAGTTACTCAAAATTAGTTCTCTGTTCATTCCTCATTTGGCACTTTTTCCCCCCTCTTCTCTGGTTCTTTCCTAAAGCAAATTCAAAAAAGTACTTCTCCTCACTTTTTTCCCACTAGTTTTCATTCCATCTCCCTGTATTTTTCTCTTGTCACTCTCCAAGTCTATCTTGTTCTTTTCCTCCCTACCATTTAAACTCTTTCAAGCTGTTTCTAGTATCTACAAGGACTGATTGGCCTCATTTAATCTATTCAATAAAACCTCTCCCCCAAAGAGCAAAGGAACTTGCAGGGGGAATAAGGCAAACTGGAGGAAGCATACTCTCTAAGTGGATTAAGTTCTTGAGCAAGGCAACACTCCTTATTTACTCTTCCCATGTACAATCCATAATCCCTCCCCATGGGCCTCTATCTCAAACCCCAAGATAATTACACTCCTGCCTCAAAATAAAATAAAATAGTCTACATCTTGTACTCTAAACATCCTGGTTGCATGAATGTTATCATGCCCTTCCTCTTACTCAAATCACTTTATGTAAACTTGGTCATCTCACAGTAACCCAAGCTGAAAAAGTCACTTTGGTCTGTTACAAATGAATATGCCAGTGCTAACAGTATCAAAAAGAACTACATCTTTCCATTAATAAACATGTTGTCTTGGGTTCTCTGGACATGTTTTATAAAGAGAAGCTACCAGGTAAGAGAATAAAACAGAGTCCTATAGGGAAAATTCTCAACTCACATTTTTAAACAGTTTGGGCTTTGGCTGTGACTTTGCAGGGAGTGGAGATGGGTGCCATCACAACACAAAGCTGACTGAGCATACCCTTACTTCTTACCCTGTGCCTCCCTGAATTTTTAGATTTCTGACCTTGTCTACCACCAAATTTTTTTTACCCTCCAGCGCACCTTTGATAGTTTACAGCTCTCTTCCTCAGGTAGCAAGTATGTTATCCAAGTTCAGAGATACAATTGAGGAATTAATACGAAAACCATGTTTCCTCAATAAAGCAGAAGCTGCCAGTTGAGCCTTGAGAGAGAGCCTAAGAAAAACACCAAAGTGGTATTACTCAGTCACCAATCTAAAGAGAGAACTTAGACTCAAGGTATAAATGAAATTGTAATTATATAAATATATTTATAAATATTTATACAATTATATACTTATACATAAGTACTTACACAGACTTAGAAAAAAATGTAAGAACATTAATTCAAAAGGACTCACTGAAGAATAAACAGAATTTTCCATGATTTCCTTGAGGAGATACATAACTCATTCTTTAGAGAGGGTCCTTCAAAATCCAACCATTAGAATCCATATTCTATAATTGTGTACTAGCATCACATAGCATCTTTTTTTTTTTTCTTTATATCCCCTAGTCACCAAGAAAGCAATCTTAAAGTAGGTGGGAACCTAAAGATCTCTGAACAATAGCAATTTTTGTTACTCAAGTAGAAGAATCAATCTAAATACCCAAATGACAAAACAGATCCATTCTATATTATGGTTGTATAACAAGTTGAAGTTCTGATTTTGCCACCAGAATCACTACCACCCCTTCAGAGGACTTTATTTAAAGCTCAAAATAAGAACTGAACATACAGTGAAGCTGACAACAGTAGTATATAGATTCAAGATGGCCTCTTCTAAATAATACTGAAAAAAGCTTTCACCAACTACAATTTGAATGCGGCTTTTGTTGGCAGGAAAAGCCTATAACATCTGAAGATTACTGGTAATCTCCATCATTCCTCTTACTAAATATTGTCTTATGAATTGAGTTTTTAAAGGTCTTCCCCTTAGAGAAGCTTTCTGTTTTGATACCTTTTGAACAAAAACAGTATGTAGAATTAAGCTCATTCAGTCACTAGAGCCTTTCAGAGACTACTCCAACCAGCAATAAAATGAACATTATTTCTAACCAAAGGAACATAGTTAGCAACTCTCAGCTTCATGTCTTCTTTTTCCTCTGGGACATACATAAGTATGCCTTAAAGCACACAGGACAATTAATAACCACAGTGATTACAATTACAAGCCATTTTACTGCATTATTATTGAACAGCTGCATTCCTATAGATCACTGTGTACCCAGACAATGAAGGGGCCAAAGAAACTAATATGCTGTACTGGCAAAAACAGCAAGCACCTTTCTATCCCAGTCACCACAATGTGCTCACTAAATGTCCACTCCAGGACTAGCAGGATCAATACAGTTAACAGAGTAATGATGAAGAAGCTGTCTCAGGCTAGGACACTGAAAGCCACCCCACGCTACCACCCTACATTTAACACTCATTCTGCCAATAACACATATCACGGAAACAATTCTTGTAGCTGGAAAGATGGCAATCCTTTGGAAAAGATTTTAAATATGATAAACAGTAATTATAAGGGATACTTTTTCAATGTAAACAAAAGCCTCAATATTTTTATATGATACTTCCTACCTGAAGAACAGAACAAAACAAGTGTCAGAGAACTTCTTCTGCCTACTAAAAATGGGGTCTTACAGAAAAGGGAGGTTGTTCTTATTCTGAATCTAGCCATTCCTTCGCCAAGGAGTCTGAGGAGTAACATTACCAGTTGATCCCAAAAAAGTGCCATGCAAGAGACCGCTTATTGGAACACATATTTCCTGCTGCCAGTACTAGATCTTATCCTTACACTTCCATTTGGTCACCAGATTAGGTAAGAAAGAAAGAAAGTGGGGAAAAAGGAGAAAATAGCAAAGGAAAAAGGGGGGAGGCGGGGAAAGGGAGAAAGACTGATTATAAAAGAAAAAGAGAATAAAAGTAAGAGGAGGCAGGTGACTTGCTTGTCCAACTTTGGCTCTATGGTCCTATGAGCCAAAATGCGTACTTAGTGACATGGTATCTCACAGGAAAAGGGAATAAAGGGGTAAGCTGAGAGAGGTCAGGTTATGGTGTTAATTTCTTTCCTGTACAAAGACAGTCTCTTGAGGACAAAGGCCTGCCTCTTGTAATGTAATGTCATAGTCCAGATGAGACAGTTTCCTTCGAGGGAAGTTGGTAAGAAGTTCAAAACGTTCATTTGGATATCCTTTAGACTGAACATGCTTCACCAAAGCCTACGAAAAACAAGAGAAAGACAAAGCTGTTAGATGAAAATAAAAGGAAAGAGCATGATAATGAATTAAATAAATAACAACATTCTTTTTTGTCCTGTTAGATGAGATATTAAGTGTAAGTTATTCTTTCAGGTAACTGAAGCCTATCCTGGCAAAGGGCCAATATAATAACCCTTTGGATGGGGAGATAATGTATCTGTATCCAATAACTTAGGGCCATTAAGTGATACTGAAATATACAGGGTTATTACTGTCATCCCAATAAACACACCCAATCACTATTTATATAATTATTGTCCTCATTTTATTTGATCAGTTTTCCTTCCTTCCTTTTATAGGGAAGATATGGCCTTTGTTCTACCTACAGCCAATCTTGCCCTCTATGCACTGAATCCCTTCTTGCCTTTTCAGAAACATGCCACTACAAAATATCCCCTTTTATAGGTTTCTTCAGCATCCCCTTCTCTACAGATGCTTCCTATCAGGCTTAAACATGCTGCCTCTCCAATCACCTTTTTTCCACTGAATACTGCCCACCCTTCCCTCCAGCTTCACAACCAAACTTCTGAAAAAGATGGTCTATACTTGTTCTTTCCATTGTCTCATCTCCAACCCCTTCCAAACACTAGGCCAGGGAGGCAGTCTGGGTATCAGCACCAGCAATCAGACCCTACTTGCATTCCAGTCACACAGTCTTCAAGAATCAGCCTAATTGGAGCCGGCCCGTGGCTCACTCGGTAGAGTGCGGTGCTGATAACACCAAGGCCCCGGGTTCGGATCCCACATAGGGATGGCCGGTTCGCTCACTGGCTGAGCGTGGTGCTGACAACACCAAGTCAAGGGTTAAGATCCCCTTACCGGTCATCTTTTTAAAAAAAAAAAAAAAGAAAACAAAGAATCAGCCTAATTATGTACTGCCACTGTGAATGGCCAGGTATGGACACCTGACCCAAGGGGGATTCATTCTTAGGCTAAGCTAAGCTAGTCAGGCTCATTCTCTTTTCTAGCAGTTGAAAGACACAGAGGGAAGGCCCATCAGCTGTGGATTTTAGATGAAACGGTCCTCAGCATCACCATGATGGACCATGCACAAGATGAGGAGTAAATAAAAGCCACCAATATACAGAAAGAATGGTGTGAAGCAGAGAATCACAAGGAAAACCTAAAAGGCCCCACAAGAGAAACATGGAGAAAAACAGCCTTGGTTAATAACCACTTTGCAGTTCCAGCTACTAGGAAACCCAAGAACCCCACTATTGTCTTCAAATAGCCCCACTTCTTTTGCAGGAGTAATAATTTCAGTTGGGTTTCTATTCCATGCAGCCATAGGATAGAAAAGTCTCAACTGTAACAGATCCTATGTGAATTGCCTAAGAGAATTTGGGACGGAAACAAACTAATTAGAATTAAGATTTACCACAGTTAAGTTTCTAGTTAGAGATCAAACTGAATACCTACCACCTATTTGAAAGAGTCATCAAGCAAATCTCGCTAGACTTATTCTAATTAATTAATTACTCTGCTTCAAGCAAATGCTTCCAATTAGATATACTTACTAGCAGTTTAGCTTGTTCTGGAAGAGTGATCTGTTCCCTTTTTCCATCTGGATACCGCAACATCAGCTGTGCTTTTGGTCCTAAAGGAATAGTTTTAAAAAAAGATATGTATTGCTTTTTGGAGGACAAAACAAACAAACAAAAAAGATACAGGAGCTTAAAACAGAATATTAACTTAAACAAGCAAGTAAATAAATAAAGCCATTAGGTAATATTCAAGTTTTAAGTAAACTGAGTCTATCATGTAACTCACCATTTACATCTATACCCTCTACTATTCCATCTGATTTTTCAGGCGACATCTCCACTATCTCTGAATCCACAGCTGGCAATCCTTGGTGGTTTGTGGCTGTTCCAGGTTCAGTTCTGGCTGAGGGCTCAGTGAGTGGCCTTCTGTTCTCCTCTTTTCTATGCCCCAAATCTTTGTGGGGAGACTTTCTGGACTTGGCAAGATTCTCTACCTCCTCTTCTTCATCAGAGCCACAAATGGATATGAACTCCTCACTGCCAGAAAAAAGTTCAGATTCAGATTCTTCATCTGAGCGGCTATCTTGTTTTGTCTGTGTTGAATCGAAATGTGTCTCTTGTAAGGAGGCTCTGATGGCAGCTTCTAGCTGGCTATCTTCACTTGCATCTATAAGGCTTTCCTGTGGGATGCAGTCATAAAACACAGGTGGAAAGAAAAAAAAACCCAGTTAAACCAAAAAATAGTCAAGTTAAACAGGGCATAAGAAATATAGTACTCAGCTTTCTATTACTATCTCCTGCTGAATGTCTCTCTTCTAAAATTTAAGCTATTTGGGGGCAAGTACTTTGTCTTACACAGCCTAATTGGAATGGATACTTTAGAGATAAAAAACTATCATAGCACCTAGCACACTGATGTTTCAAGCATAGGGGTTTTTTTTTGCATCAAAACGAACAAAGTTGAAAAAACAATTTATCACAAAAAAAGACAAGAACTAAAAAGCTTTAAATATAAACCCCAAAACACTATTCTCTAAAATGACTAAACAATAAAGAATGATGGCTACCTTGCTCACCACTATATTCTTAAATTAGCACTGCTTTGGCACACAAAAGGATATCAATAAATAACTTACAGTAATAACTTCTCAAGAAATCTAACAGATCTCTAACATTCAAAACAAAACAAAATACCATACAACAAGTAGGGGAAAATAATAACTAGATTTTCCCAAGCTTAATTACAATGAAGATTTTCATTATGATAATAAGAAATGCAAATTTCTACAGTTTTCACGTTGGTAAAGTTCTAAAGTCACAAATTTAAAGTTTACGAGTCACAAAACATGGGCTGTTTCAGTGGAACTTATTTAGATCCTTACTCAAACATACTATGGGGAAAAATATTTGTAAAATAACCTAAAGTTGAACAGTGGACATCTCACGATATTAAGAAATTACTGTTAGAAGAACAGTTAATCTATCAGATGGAGAGAACAAATCTATGGTCATGGGAGGGGGAGAGGAGAGATTAGATAGGGGCATAAAGAATAAGTATGATTTGTTAACAATGAATATGCTAATAAAAATAAAAGGTAAAAAAAAGAAATTACCGTTAATTTTTAACGGTGTGCTAATGATATTGTGATTTTTTTAAGTAAAAAGTCTTCATCATTTAAAGAACGTGCCAAAGTATCAATAGATAAAAAAATGAATTCTGAGATGTGCTTCATAGTAATGCAGATATGGTAGAGTACAGATATAAGAAGAATGGCCATCTGTTGATAATCATTGAAATTAGTGGACACATGGAGGCCTGATAGATTCCTTCAACTTTTGAATATGCTTAAATTTTCCACAATAAAAAGATAAGAGTTGCTACTAAAAAACTGAAAGGAACCTCATTTTGGCTTTCACAAAGCCAAATCACATAGCAAGGCCAATCACATAGCAAAAACTTAAAGGAAATTTGAAAAATAAACTTAAGAGAGTTCTGGTCAAGGTAACGGAATAGATGGTCCCCAGTGTCACTCTCTCCCACAAATCAATCAATTTACAACTATAAAAATGTAACAACAGCCAAGCTGGGGCCACTGGAGCTCAGGGGAAGAGGAGGACAGACCTATGGACTTCATGAAGGCAGGAGAAACCATGATGAGAGAAAGAAAAAACTGGAGTGTTTTGGGCCACGGACGCTTTAAGGCTGGAACTGCTGAGTGCATGGAGCAGGAGCTGGCAGAAGCCGCAGCTGTGCCCTTTGGATGGAGTTGCTTGGAGGCGGCAGGGGAGAAGAGGGCCTTGGTGGCCTCTAGGACAGGAAGACCACTAATAGGGTTCCCGTACACCCACGCAGGAGTGAGGAGCCAGAACAGCTGAAAAAGGGAAGCCATTCAGAGGCCAGTGAGTCATCACAAAGGACCAGTGCACGGCCCATCCCATGGGAAGTGTTTGGAGCATGGGTGGTAGCTATGACAAAGCAAGGACAGCTGATCCACCCCCCAATCAGCGCAGTAACACTCAGAGGAGACTGGTCAGGAATGCTGAATTACAAGGGGTGCATGCAGTTTGATGAAAACACTGAGATGAGAGTTTCTACACAATCCAGGTGCACCGGGTCTCTGGAGAGCCAGAAGTGGTTGACAAGGTCAACCATTAAACCCTGAGCTGCACAAAAAGCCTTCTCTAGGGAAATAGCAGCAAAGCAGCAATTTGGCTCAACCACACAGCTCAAGTACTGGTTCCCAAAGGAAGTTCCCCCATTATAGAAGTTAGCAAAGAACAAAAAATTAGTTTGGGCTCAGGCACACTGTCAGTGCCTCAGATCCTGGCTGGGAACCTGAAGCTTGAAGCCAGGGACCAAGCCCCACTCCCACATCCAGGCACACCCCAGTGTCTTGGGGACCACCCAGGGTATGGAGCCAGGGAAGGACCCACCACCCCTGCCCACAAACAGGCACACCACCAGCACCTCTGGGACCTGCCCAGGGGCCTGGAGCATTGTGCCAGAGTTTGGACCTGCTGCCCACAAAGAGGCACACCACCAGCACCACGGAGCATGCTAAAAACATCACATCCATGTGGTGGCCCACCACAGCCACCACAGTAACCACAGCTACCATGAAAGTGGCTAGACACCACAACCACCATGCAGATGGTCCACCCAGCCACTGGAGTGCATCGACACAAGGACAGTCACCAGCAGAGACCAAAGAAAAGAAGAGAATGTCTCTCTCCACAAACCCCATTCCAGAGTGACAGAAAAAGCATCTGCTCTATGATAATTCTGGGAGACCTGAACACGCCTCTCAGCATTGGACAGATCATCTAGGCAACAAATCAACAGAGTAACCATTGCTCTTTCAGAAGGAGAGAAGAAATCTAGGGTTATCAGTGGTGGGAGGGGGGATTGAAAGGAGGATAGGGAGAGATTGGACAAGGGGCATAAAGAATACGTACAATTTGTAACAATATACATACTAGTAATATTGATTTGATCAACATATGTCAACACTGAGTCCCAAAAATATGTATAATCATGATTCAATAAATATATGTGTGTGTGTATATATATATATATATATATATATATATATATATAAATAAGACAAAGCCTGGACACCGTATACTTTAAAAAATAAATAAAGACCTGGCCTGTGGCTCACTTGGGAGTGTGTGGTGCTGACAACAACAAGTCAAGGGTTAAGACCCCCTTACCGGTCATTTCTTAAAAAAAATAAAAATAAAATAAAATAAAAATAAACTTAAGGCTAATTTACACCCTAAAAAAGCAAGTAAATGTGCCCACATGACATGCAATGGCTTCGGTAGACTGTACATTTATAACAATGACATTGTATAGCATGTAGCTTGATTTTAAAGATTACAGCCATTGCAGACTCTGCTAGGTTCCTATCCAATACTCATTCTCTGATTCTTTACTTACAGAACTGATTATGTTTATAAAAGAAAACATGTCTAGCTAAGAAATTCCATTTACTAGTTTCCCCTGTACACAGAAAAAAATTGTGGTACTGAGCTAAAGCAGTACTTACAGAGAAATTACATAATTAAACACTTATATTAGAAGAGAAAGATCTCAAAATAATGACCTAAGCTTCCACCTTAAAAAAAAAAAAAGCCCAATCTAAACAGAAGGGAAGAAAAAGAAAAAAAGAACAGAAATTAATCAATGACCTAGAAAACAAATGTAATAGAGAAAAATCAATGAAACCAAAAGCTTATTCTTTAAGAGCAATAAAGCCTTTAGAGGACTGTCAGGTAAAAAGAGAGAAGCTACAAATTACCAATGACAGAATTAAGAGAAGGGACGACTACAATCTCCATAGTTATTAAAGGAGTAACAAAGGAACATAATGAACTTTGTCAATATATGACCCCTCAGGTAAAACAGACAAAACCCTAGAAAGACACAACCTACTAAAGCTCATTCAAAAAGAAATAGTTATCAGAATAGTCCTATATCTATTAATGAAATTGAATTTGTAGTTTAAAACTCTAGGCTCAGGTGGTTTCACCAGTGAAAGTTACCAAACATTAAGTGAGAAGTAATATCAATTACTACACATACTCCTGCAGAAAAAAGAAGAGGAGAAAAAACACCCCAATTCATTATTCAGCATTAACCTGATACCAAAACCAGACAAAGACATTACAAGGTATTTGAAGGAAAGAAGGAAAAACAGTAACAAAATCCTCAAAAAAAGCCTACGAACCAATATCCCTCATGAACACAGACACACAAATTCTTTACAAAACTTTAGCAAATCAAACCCAACAATATATAAAAAGCAATGCATCACAACCAAGTGAGTTTTAGTCCCAGAATGCACAGTTGGTCTAACATTAAAATCCAACCAATGGAATTCACTAAAAAAAGAAAACCATATGATTATCTCAACACATATTAAAAAAAAAAAAATGGTATGACAAATCCACTCACAATGAAAACTCTGCAAACCAGGAATAGAAGGAAACTTCCTCAACCTGAAGAAGTATATGTACAAAAAATACATAGCTAATACCAAACTTTGTGGCAAAAGACTGAATGCCTTCGCCTTAATGTGAGAAACAAGGATGTCTAATCTCAGTACTTCTATTTAACATTGTACTACAGGTCCAAGCCAGTGCAACAAGGCAAGAAAAAGAAATAAAAGGCATAGAGATTGGAAAGGAAGAAGTAAAACAGTCTTTATTTACTGACAACATGACCATCTATATAGAAAATTCTAAGGAATCTACAAAATAGCTACTAGAACTAAAAAGTGAGTTTAGCAAGGCTGCAGGCTATAAGGTCAATATATAAAAATATAAAACATTGCTGAGAGAAATTAAAGAACAAAGTTGAAGATCTTATACCATATGATCTCAAGACTTATTGTAAAGCTACAGTAATCAAGACAGTGAAATATTGGTGTAAAAGACATTAATCATTGGAATAGAGCCCATAAATAAACCCACACATATGACTAGTTTTTTTTTTTTTTAAAGATGACTGGTAAGGGGATCTTAACCCTTGACTTGGTGTAGTCAGCACCACGCTCAGCCAGTTAGCGAACCGGCCAGCCCTATGTGGGATCCAAACCCGGGGCCTTGGTGTTTTCAGCACCACCCTCTCCTGAGTGAGCCACGGGCCGGCCCATGATTAGTTTATTCTTGACAAAGGTGCAAAGGCAATTCAATGGGGGAAGGAAAATCTTTTCAATGAGTGGTGGTGAAACAACTGAATAACCATATTCAAAAAACAAATGTAACGGGGCCGGCCCGGTGGCGCACTGGATAAGTGCGCTGCTTGGGAAGCGCGGCGGCGCTCCCACCCGAGGGTTCGGATCCCACATACAGATCCGCTGGTTGAGCGAGGCGCGGGAGCAACACCGAGGGTTGCAGTCCCGTTGCCGGTCCCCGGTCCGGTACGGGGGCAACACTGAGGGTTGCGATCCGTTGCCGGACACGGAAAAAGACAAAAGACAAAAGACAAAAAAAAAAACAAATGTAACAACCCAATTCAACCCTACCATAACACCATATACAAAAATTAATTCAAAATGGATCTTATGTTGTAACACCAAGGTCAAAGGATCGGATCCCCTTACCAGCCAGCCACCAAAACAAACAAACAAAACTCCAAAATGGATCACAGACTTAAGAGCCAACCCATAAAAAATGTATGTTAAAATCTCAGGTTAGGGGCCAGCCCGGTGGCGCACTCTAGAGTGCGGCGCTTGGGAGCACGGCAGCGCTCCCGCCGAGGGTTCGGATCCCATATAGAGACCGGTCCGCTCACTGGCTGAGCGCGGTGTGGGCGTGACACTGAGGGTTGCAATCCCGTTGCCGGTTGCGGTACGGGCGCGACACTGAGGGTTGCGATTCCGTTACCGGTCACGAAAAAAGACAAAAAGGAAAAAAAAAAAAAAGAATTCTATACTACCTTAAGGTATTGCCTTTAATAGGCAGTTTACTCTAGGTGTTCATCACTACGTGATATGGACTGCCAAAGCCACATCCACTAAAACTATTTCTGTTTCACTGCCATCAAACCCAAACAGCCACTACAACCAATGTGAGATTGCCATATCTTTGAAGGTCTCTTACTTGCAACTAATCTTGATTCCAATTATCAAACAGGTCTGCCTAACAATAATAGCATGTTATAGAAATTAAGTATAGTAATAATCTCTAGGAGTGCCAGAGAGCCAGGCCCTAAAGCTATATAACCAGTACTAATGCCCAACTATACCACAAGAGTTGTTCTAGGAAAAAACCAGCATTTCTACTGCTGCTTAGACCTGGATACCAAAAGCCCTCCCAGTGCTGCCCCTGAGAAACTGGATGCTTCCACCACCAGGCTTGCTAGATCAATCCTCATGTTCTACCTATTCACATTCTTTACTTCTAAATCCATGTACTTAGGTCATATGCTTGCACCCTTGCTGTAAGAGAGACTGGGAATATAAGTCTTATGATTTCATTGAGAAAATAGAAACTTTATGTGGGTAATTATCAAAATATGAGGAGGGTGTCTAAGATGTGGTATATGCACAAATGGTTAAGTGTCCACTATTTACATTATCATCTTTACCATCTTAACATCAAACATTTTACATAAGACACTTACGTACAATTACACTTAATTACCCATTACCACTTCCTAGTCATACTTACTGAACGGGTACATTTTTTGGGGGGACTGCTAGAAAGTCCATCCAGTTGCCCATGTTCACCCAGAAATCCTGTCACTTGGTCCAAGAAAGAAGATACATCAAGCTGGTGCCATTCTACTAGCTTCTGACCTAAAGATTAAAAACCAGGATATATAAATATAATAAAATCAAAACTCTTTCTGAAAATTCTCATTAAGTATTTCTTTCAACATATGCACAATTAAAATTTACTGTGAACAAATATCCCCACTCTTCACTAGCTTAACTTACATAGTATCTTTATAACCTAAAGGACACCTCAGTTACAACCCACCTAACAGATTCCCACCCATCACGACAGGGCAACTACCTTATCTGCTGGTATCATTTACTGCTATTTAGGAAGAAGAGATTCAGACAAAGCAATATCTACTTAAACCACAATCAATTAATAATAAAACCAGCTCCACACTCTGCTTCTCTGGTAGGATAACAACCAGTACCTGAACAATCTTAAATGTTTAATGACAGAAAACCTAAAGGGATACTTGATAAAATGATGAGAAATAAGAACATATCAGTTACTCCTTGAAAGACCAGAACTGCACAAAATAAAATACCACCATCTCCCAAAGTTGCCAGAAAAAGCTTCCATAAATACACACATCAGTAGATGTTTAAATAATCATAAAGGGAATGAACAAGAGACCTTCACCTAAATTATTATGATTTTGAAATCATAGCCAGTCAAATATTTAAAGATCAGTCATTTAGGTAACTGAAAGACAAATGATAGGTTAAAGGCTGTAAACTGATATAAATCTTACCTGTCCGTGGGTCCAAGATGGAAACATAGGGGAAATCCCCTAGCTTATAAAACTGTATGTATCTCTGACCTTCCTCACTGTCATGATAAACCTGTTGTCATTGACATAAAAAAAAGTCAGCCTCTAAAAGAAGGACCAACCTTCTTCTTCTATATAACTTTGTTACACACCAATGGCAATTAACTCGCCAAATATACCTTTGGTATATGTGTTAGGATCTCATTCCTATATTAAAGAGAAAATGAAGGTCATCTGGTGTGAACTCCCTCAGCTCTTACCCTCAGCCTCTTATGGATACTTACCATAAACATACCAATCCATGCCTCCTCCTCTCCCAGTTCAGAAGAGTTACTGCTCTTCTTGTTCAAGCTATTTGTCTATCTATGTCATTCTTGACTCTTAACCATTTATATCTTAATAAATCACAATACATGAAGACTATAAACTCGAGAGTCTAGCACAGTGCTAGGCAAAAAGATGCTCAATCGATTTTTGCTGAATGAAATAAACGGAAGTTTTATCCTTTTTAAAAAACTATATTAAATTTAGAGGCCTGTAAAACATGAACAGGCAAATTAATAACATTAATAGCAATTCCCATCATGTAGTGGGAAAAAAAATTAAGTTCATTCAGAAGTTTAAATTTTCTGTAACTTTTTATAAAATAATAAACTGGAACAGGATCATCTAGCCTTAGCTCGATGATTTATGTAAAAAGAAACTAGAGCCAGGAAGACTAAGTGACATGTCTAAGGACATACAGTTAAAGAATATCAAACTCAAGCTAAAATCCAAGTCTCAGCCAAATGTTTTTCCATTACTCTAAGATCTATAACTATATTTTCCAACATAGTAGCCCCAGCCACGTGTGGTTATTGAAGCACTTGTAAATGTGAGATGTGCTGCAAATGTAAAATACACACCATATCTTGAAGACTTAACACCAAAAAACAACCTAGAACATCTCAATATTGTTATATTAGTTACATGATAGATGTACTGATTTAAACAAAATATATTATTAGAATTAATTTCACCTGTTTCTTTTGACCTTTTTTATTGTGGTACTAGAAAATTTTACATTACATATGTGGTTTACATTATATTTCTAATAAACAGTATAGTTGCATATTCACTCTATCAAGACATTTAAACTCTTAGGATATGAATATTATACAGTTTATATGGCTTGGATCTTTTTTCCTCCTTCTCTTGAAGTTCTTCATTGCTGCCCTTTCCCTCACCTTTACTATTTCAGCTATAATGGGTAGTTTTACTTTTTTATGTCATAATATCTCAGTTATTAATTTTTTTCCAGTTTATAATCCAGTTCTTCCTCTCCAACATCCCACACTACAAAAGTAAAATACAAAAAATTTGACTCTCTTCCTCACCTGCCAGAAAATGAAATGTTCCCGGATAATATTCTTCACAGCTTCATTGCTCCATACATCACGGTTGAGGCACTGGCACGCAAAGTCTTGTACATTTTGGATGTTTATCATCAGCCACTTATTCTGCATCTGGCCACACTCTTTGGCCTGTAAGAGTAAAGTAACAAAACATGTCTTAGAAACAATTTCTACTTGGTAACTCATGTTTCAGAATTCAAAAGCTGTCCTCTTTCCATATAAATACTAAGTTTTTTCACAAGTATGCCATCTAGAGTTTTCACTATTTATACATTACCTATATTTATTTTGCATATGCATATACAATTATACTGTCCATTTTCAAGCATTCTCAAATTTAAATGAACTGTTTTCTCTTTTATCCATTGTTACTTGTTATAATGGCTGAATTTTTAATGTATGCTTAAGCATCTTCATCTGAACAGAATTCCACTAATTTAAGATCAACAAGTCACATAATTCTATTCTTCTACTCCCTGTCAACAAATATACCTCTTCTTTTTAATGGACGTAACTGGTATGCGTATATTACTTTATGTTGTTTTATTTTCTCCAACACCATTTTCTATAACACTTCCAAGTATCATATTCATCTCAGTTATTAGGCATGTGTTATTTTATAGTATCATCCAAACATTTTAGTAAAAGCTGCTTAGGGTTTTTTCTCTTATCTTCCTAGGAGTATATTCCAAAAAATTGCATTACAGGATCCAAGAATGTGAGAATAATCTGCAAATTACTCCCCAATTTACAGCACAAATATCAATCACGTGTGTACTTTTTGCCTCTCAGTTCATTACCATAAAGACCTAAGAAATGCTGCTGAATGAAAAAAGAATGGCAGAAAAGCAATGAGCAAATGCTACGTCAAATCTTTGCATAGGACCAATAACATGAAAGCAATAGTTTTGAAAAAATTTGTCCTGGAATAATATTCTTTTCCAAATCAGTTTGACATGGGAAAATCTTAGGAATCAATACATTTGCTGTAATAATAATCAAAGAACGTACACCATTTTGGTGATATTGGAAAATATAAGACTATCTTATGTTTTAAGAAGATTTACACAATCCTACAAATACTGTTATCCTGCTTTTTTATATGAACCTTCCAGAGAAAATTATTTTCTAATATTCACTTATTGATACCACAGATGAAAACCAAAGTTCTAAAAAGATGTATCCCTGTATTGAGTCAGGAAACTCTATTTAATTGGTCAAAGACTTATTTTTAAAATTATTTTATAGTAATAAAATAATTCCTTGCTCCTAGGAAATAATAATGTTGCATTTACTTCCTTGTCTATAGACACAGATTTAATAAATGGGTGATAAATAATTAAACTGCCTTAACTGAAAAATTTGAGATTAAAGAAAAAAGTGAACATACATTCTAGAGACATACTGGAGAGGATGTATCCCTCTAACAGGGTCAATTTATGTTTTACAACTACAACACTGACAAGAAAAAAAAGTATGAAACTGAAAATGAATAAAAGTCCCAAGTTGAAAAATTATGAAGAGTCATTTGCTTTTATTTTTTTAAAAATTTGTTCGCCCACATTCATGCTTTCATTAACACAGATTCATTCATTCAATAAATACTTATTGAACACTTACCACATTTCAGGTACAGTTATTGATGCTGCAGTTACAGCAGTTACCAAAACACAAAAATCCCTGTCCTCATGAAGCTTACATTGGGGAGAAACCTTATACCAGCAAAAGAAACTTAGAAATGGTGCTATCCACACTGAAGATACTGTTAAGAAATTACTGCTAGAGGAAAGGTCCAAAGAAGACATGACTTTCAGATAAAACAATATTTGAAGGGAATAAGAGTCTTGAGTAAATCTAGAGATCTAATGTATAGCATAAGGATTATAGTTAATAATACTATACTGTATATTAAAAATTTGCTAAATGCTAAGAGTAGACTTTAGATGCTCTTACCATTAAAAAGGGGGTAACTCTGGAAAATGATGAAAAGGTTAATTTGCTTAACTGTACCAATCATTTCACTATGTATATCAAAACATCATACTGTATATCTTAAATGTATACAATAAAAAAAATGACAGAGAAAGAGAGAAAAAGTCATAAAATCTAAGTATACCAATTATGTGAGTCAAGGACTGGAGGTGAAAGTGGGCAATGGGACAAATGAAGAACCTTTCCTCTCGGAATCTACTGGGTTGTTCTGAACCAATATTCAAAAGCCATTATAAGGAGACCTAAGGGCAAAACAGTGGGAGATTAACATCTCTCCTAGTCCCAGATAGAACAGAAAAGCATGAAAAATAAGGACTAAAGAAAAAATGTTTCAGTAAATATATGTGCATAGAATAAAGAAAACATTAAAATATGCATGGTACTTTATGAAAATTGAAATTATAATTCTACTATTTCTCTGTGTTATTATGATATATATATTTTGGTTTTTAACCAAAATTCCTGGCTTATAATTCCCATTGCCCTTGTTCTTTTTTGTTGGGTTTTTTTTTGGCGACTGGCTGGTACAGAGATCCAAACCTGTGACCTTGGTGTTATAAGGCTGTGCTCTAACCAACTGAGTGAGCTAACCAGCCAGCCCTAGCCCTTGTTCTAATCTTCCCCTGCCTTTGTCTTAGAGCTGGCCATAAAGGAATTCTCTGAACTGTTCAGGCACCAGGGGTTTTTTGTTTTAAAGGTGGGCGCTGGTTGGTTAGAGTATGGTGTTATAACACTGTGAAGGTTAATTCTAGATGTCAACTTCATTAGAAGAAGGAATGCTGAGAAACCTGGTAAAGCAATTTTCTCAGGTGTGTCCATGAGGGTGTTTCCAGCAGAGATTAGTATGAGAGTCTGAGTAGCCTAGGTGTGAAAGACCCACCCTCAGTGTGGGTGGGAACCATCCAATCTGCTGGGGGTCCGGAGAGAACAAAAGACAGAGGAAAGAGGTGAAGATCTCTCTCTCATCCCCTGGAGCTGGGATACACTCTCCTCTCCTGTCCATGGACATCAGAGTTTGAGACTCTTCAGCTTTTGCATTCCAGAACTTACAACAAGGACACCATCACCTTCCCTGGTTCTGAGGCCTTTGGACTTGGATTGAGCCACACTACCAGCATCCAGTTTATAGACAGCCTATCACGGGACTTTTTTTCATAGCCATGTGAGCTAATTCCCCTAATAAATCCCTCTCATATAATTGTAACATATCCTATTGATTCTGTCTCTCTGGAGAACCCTGACTAATACAAACACTAAGGTCAAGGGTTTGGATCCCTGTACTGGCCAGCTGCCAAAAAAACAAAAACAAAACAGAAATGCTCTGACCTACCTTGTCTGACTGTAAGTCATAAGATCCATTTCAGAAAGGGTCCTTCCCAAGAAGAAGGAATGTTGCACAGATGGCAAGAAGAATCTGAACAAACAGGCTATGTTGGGCCTCCCAACTCAAATCATACCCTTTTTGTCAAATCACATTTCTACAGAGTTGTCCATGTTTCAATCACAATGAAGCTTCCATAAAAATCAAAGAGCACAGCGTTTGGAGAGCTTCTGGGTAGCTGAACACATGGACAGCTGTCACACGCCCAGGGAGGGCATGGGAAGCTCCACGTATTCTCCCCCATACCTCGCCCTATGCATCCCTTCATCTGTATCCTTTGTAATATCCTTTATAATAAACCAATAAACGTGTTTTCCTGAGTTTTGTGAGCCACTCTAGCAAATTAATCAAACCCAAGGGAACCCCATTTGTAGCTGGTCAGTCAGAAGCACAGGTAAAACAACCCGGGGCTTACAAATAGCATTTGAACCGGGGTGCAGTCATATGGAACTGAACCCTCAACATGTGAGATCTGATGCTATCTCTAGGTAGACAGCATCAGAACTAAATTGGAAGACACCCAGCTGGTGTCCACTAGAGAACTGATTGCTTGTTTGCTTGTTTGCTTGCTAATGGGGACAGATCCCCACAAATATGTTGTGAGAGTATAGTGGAAGTGTCTGAGTGTTTTTTCCCACTCATTCTCCTTACCAGTTTTCTAATTTTTCCATAATTTCTTTGTCTAATTTGAATAAAACTAAATGTCAGCTATATATAAAGTTGAATTAGAAAAACTTTATCTTAGGGGCCGGCCCCTGGCTCACTCGGGAGAGTGCGGTGCTGATAACACCAAGGCCACGGGTTCGGATCCCATATAGGGATGGCTGGTTTGCTCACTGGCTGAGCGTGGTGCTGACAACACCAAGTCAAGGGTTAAGATCCCCTTACCGGTCATCTTTAAAAAAAAAAAAAGAAAGAAAGAAAAACTTCATCTTATATGTTTATTGACAGGCTCTTTAAATTTTCAGCTAAATTTTTTTACTTGCATTTATAATTAAGTACTTTTTAAATTAAAGTGCTTTTAGTAATTAGGACTAGGTGTACATGCAATTAAATAGCAACTGAAAAAAAATATGCATTTCTTATGAAATAAGAAATATGACAGAAATTGGTCTGATTCTTTCTGTACAATATATTCCAGATTATGCCATTCAATCATTTAAAAAAGATTTTAAAAAGGCCAATTAAACTGTTCCAGGCACTGTGGATACACAACAGCAAATAAAGTCCCTGTGTTCACAGAGCTTACAGGCTAGTAAGGAAAGAAGAAAACCTAAGAATGTTCCCTTCCCCAGGTTAGACCATTTATCCTGAAGTGCTTGCTCAGCTCCAGCTAAACTGGTTTTCTTGGCTGTACCAGAAATAAGCCCAGCTCTTTCTAACATCAGTACCTAGGCACTACTGTTCTATTTGCTTTTCCCTGGACCTTCCCATGGTACACATTCCCTCACTTCATTAAGACTTTGACTTCAATCTCATCCTTTCAAAAATTTTCTCTTCTTCTCTCTTCACAATTACAAACATATGTGCAGCCTATGAAAACCTTGCTTTCAATTTTCCTTTAAGAACACATGCAACTTAATTGCCCCAAATGAACAAAAAATAGCCCCCTCTCTCTTTCCCTTATTGTATTTTATCCTTTCTCCTAACAACTACTATCAAAGACAACATATGTAATACATACACCAATACATGAGGGTACTTCAAAAAGTTTGTGGAAAAACAGAATTAAGAAAATGCTAATCTTTTCATGAAT